TTGCAAAACCAAGTATTGATCAAGTTAGCGCAAAATCTATTTGTGTTTGTTGCCTTGGAGATCATCACTCGAGGCAAGAGAATAAGCGGGATTGTCTCACCTTGTGGGCATGTATGAGGAATATATGGATAATTAGGCGATCCCTAAGCCTCCTTAAAATTTATGTGTGATGTGTTTGATTAGATGAATGATTTTCAAAGATTGTTGTGGTTGTGCAATGACGAATGATGATGAATTTCATGAATTTGTGATGTTGATTTATTGTATGCCATGTTGTCTCCTTTAAGGGTTAAGGTTATGTGCATAATTTAGAGGTTTTGTTTAAATTGCATGAATTAATGTAAATTGATGTTATTTAAGCATATTGCGACTAGATTAATATTTTACCAATTAATTTGAAATGATAGGTGTTAAAGATGAAATGGAAGGGTTAAGGAACCCTGGTTCGTGATTATGTGAAGTGTAGAATCTGCAATGATGCCCGACATGTACTAAAGGTGCTAGGTGAGGTGAGTGGGATTCTCTGTGCAGTGGCATGAGAAGATCCATGTTGGGTGCGTGAACCACAAGGAAGACCCTAACCCTCTCAATATTAGGTGAGAATAGTGTCTTGTTAGGCATCGTTTAACTTTGAGTTTTGAGAAATGCCTTGCTAGGTGTGGGCTCAAGCATGTCAGGTATGCAAATGTGGTAAAGAGACCCTTGACCTCTCTATGTTGGGCACGATGAATGCCTCACGAAACCTAGTGACGTCAATGACTGTGAGAATAATTTGATGTGTGAAAAGAGAATAAAATTAGGAAAAATAGAGGGAAAGACATAATTAAGAAAGATAAGACATTATTATAATTGAGAAATGATGAAAGGAGATAAGATGTTTCCATAATTGAGGAATTAAAGAGAGGGGAAGAGTAAGGGAGAAGTATAATTAAAGGAAGAGATAAACAACAATGATGTTGATGATTATAATAATGAATAAATAATAGAAGTAATTGAGAATGATGAGATGTATTAGATGGTTTTTTTTAGAACTTTGCATGCAATGTTTGGGATGTTTGATGCATTGAGAGATGTTGTTGATATATTTGAATATGAGAAAATCCAAGGAAGGCTTGGTCCTTTGAGAAGTCTAGATAGAAAGGTTTGACAATATGATGAAGATGGTGCTATATATGCATTTGCATTGTTGTTGTTCTTGATGTAATTTGATTGAGAGTCCATGCATGCATCCATACTTTTTTTGGAAGCAAATGTGTTTCTATGTAGAAGGTCTCTATGATATTATACATTGGTCTTAGGATGTTATGATGGGAAACCTCTAATGTTGGATGGGAGGCTACCATGTGTACGTAGTTGTATTATCTCGATTGGCTCCTATTAGAATTCCTTCAAGTGAGAGTGGATTAAGCACATAGGTGTGCATTGTGTGGCATGCAGTTGTGTGGTAACAATGTGCTCTTAGACTTCTTCAATTTCGAGCGGCTTGTGCAGAGATGAGATTGGTACTACATGTACATATAGTTAGTAACATAATGAGTCTACATGTGTTATTGAGAAGTGGATGTGGATGGTTTTGAGATTGATGTGTTATATGTAATTATTGTGAATGATATATGAATACTTTGAATTGGTGTGTGATGAAGTTGTGTTTTATTTATAGAATATTATTCGTATTTATTGTATATGTATATGCTTTACACATGTGAAATACATTCTCACTCTTCTTATGTTTGTGGTTGTCATTTTCTTGTTGGAGTGAACATCAACTTCAAGTATTGTTTGAGTCAATGAGATTGAGCATGAGGATGATGAAACCTGAGATCTTGGTCTTACTTTTACGAGTTTCTACTCTGATTAGTGTGACATCGAGACTTTAGAACCTAGAATTATGTTTTTCCTTGTTCGTGATTTTGAATTTCTACATTTTAGTGATTTTTTTAAAGTTCTTTTATAAACTTCTATGTTTTGAACTTATTCTAATTTTATTTTCCTTTAATACAATTAGAGTCTAATGATAATAATAATAATAATAATAATAATAATAATAATTTTATTATTATTATTATTATTATTATTATTATTATTATTAAGATTGACTCCAATACTATTTTAAATTATGAGTTTGAGTTTAACTCAATCATAAAATAATTGATTTATAAATAAAAGTTATTCCTATTTATATATTCAATTTTCTCCATCTCAAAATACAAAACTCTGAACACTTGCATTTGTTGCCCAAGGTATTAAGATCCCATGAAATCTTTCCTCCTGATCATGAATTGGTAGTAGTTAATGGAGCATATACCATAGAACCTAGCTTTTGTCTGTCACTGTCTCTGGTGGCTTCATTGTCACATTAATTCTTCTCTCCCTGCCACTATTTCAAATTAAACTTTCCTTTCATTTTCAAGCTCACTCCCTCCACGCCTCAAACAGTTTGCATGCCGACTACTCCAAAATCTTGTGCATGACAGTGCTCCACGTGTTGAAATCATGTTGCACTGGAAACTTCTCTAAAGGGACTTGTGTCAAAGGAAAACAACAATGGAGTTTACTATAGGTAGGGGCTCTCACTCTAATACCTGCAAACTACGTAGTAGTGGTATCATAAGAATTAAAGAAACGACAATGTTGATGTCATTTTCTACAGGCTAGTGTTAGTAAAATATATATTTCAATTTTGATTAATTAACATGCGTGGTAAATTCCCTATTTCTCTCAATCCGCCAAGTCTTTTTCCTAGTGAGGATTTGATTCGTATTCCTCCATATTCACATTCATATATTCATATTCATATTCATATTCATGTGCGTGTGACTGAAAATGAAAATCATAAAGTAATAGTTAGTCATTTGGTTTTCCTTACTCGATATAAATTTTAGTATTAGTATATATCCTTGTTGTAAGATACATATATATACTTGTGACATGCTACTTTTCTTGTACAATTTATTCTCTTTTAATTGCTTAATAATAATGTTATTTTTGGGATTTGACTATTTTACATTGAGTAATTTATTTTAAAGAATAAAGTAATAATTTCAATTGGTAAGAAAAAATAACAATTAATAATTTTTTTTGAACAGTTAAAATATTTATTAATACACTGACGTAAACACAGGTAGTATATATAGCAGACAGAAAATAAAAAAAAATAAAAAATAAAGTACATTACTCAGGAAACTAAAACAAATTAGATCACTATTGTATATATTCTCTATATTATAACGTGGTCAATAATTAATATTATATGCACAATTACACAGCTTAACAAATTATGCATGTATTCAAACATCAACCTTAATTAATTATTTTTATCAGCAACTAAGGCTCCTGACCTCTTTAGATGATCTAAATCCTTAATTTTGATTTCAAAAAATTTATTCGATGTCTTGATCAGGATTAGGTCTAAGTGGTGATTCCCCTACAAAAAATGTTTATAAGTTGATGTGGTTTAATTATTTTTTTCTGGTGTATTAATCCCCTTGAGTATATGAAAAGAAACCATTAATTAAATTTCGATTGTATATAAGTTAGGATACTCATTATATTTATTTTTAATATTTTTTAATTTATCAATGTAAATAGCATGCTGTTCTAATAATATGATAAATTGATGGTATATATCTTACTTCTTTTTAGTAAATAAGCAAGAGTATATTTCTTATGGTTTACGAAAACTTTTACTTCTAGTTTCATTTTTTTTAGTGTAGATTATTATAAATATACTTTATTAAAAGTAATTCTATTTTAATTAAAATCATTCACAATATCTATCTGTGTGAATTTTTTTCATTTCCATAACTATAACTCTATCACTAACAAGTACTTGGTCATAGTGGAATTAGATTTAGTCTTTTTAAATAAAGTTTCATAATTCAAATCTTATTCTTATATATATAAAATAATTAAAAAAAGTGATAAAATACAATAAAGTCTCACTGTTAGAACAAAACGATAAACAAGTATTTATATAAATGCCTAAAGTCCTCATCGGTATCAAAATATTAGTTAAAGAAATCAAACATAAATCATTTGAACCAATTGCCATTTAGATCAACTTATAGTTCATGACTATTGCTGTTGCTGTTAATATGTATAATTATTTGATTCATGTGTGAAATACATGTTACTTAATTGTTAAATCATTGCTATTACAAAGTACAATACTAGTACTATATGGTGTTAAAACTTATGGACTCATCACTCATGTTCATCACGTACACTGCAACTCCATAGGTTGTGAGAGAAGCTTTACCCACAAAACTAAATTAATCACGTGCATGAGAAAATGTACCAACGCCTGAATTAGAACAGATTTCGAAATTATCAAACCGAATTCAGACACCAAAACCAATAGTGCATTTTGATATTTTGTTGACCGACGAGGCAGCAATGGTAGAATTAACATCATCATTATGTGTGCAAAATGTAACAATCGCTGCTAAACACGCCCACCCAAGCAAATGCTGGATGTAGCCAACTATGAAAGAATAAATAAGGATATTCTCATGTTACTTACTATTACGAGGGAGTGCTAGCTATTATAAAATTAATAATAAAACTTCAAATTATTTATATATAATTTATTAATTTGTCATGACATGAGTTACTATTGTGTCCGTAATTAATTTATATATAATCTTTTTATTCATTAGAATGTATTAAAAATTTCCAAATTTTTGGATTCTATTTATGGTTTGACAGAGTAACTGGAGTCGACTTATTGATAAAGAATTGTGATAGATATATAAAAATTTAAGTTGGACCTGCGTTGTGATTATTATGTATTTTTGTAATAAATTTTATCTAAAATATTATAAAAGGAATATATAAGAAAATATATTTAATTGACAAAGTATTTGGTTGACACAAGTAAAAATTTTGCTGTGGTTAAAAATAATAGAAAGTTCTCTCTCTTGTTCTCATTTTTTTAAACTCCATATCCCTCTTTGTGTGTGGTGGTGCAACAAACACAAACTCTATCTCCTGGGAGACAAACTGCAAGTCTAATCTCTGACTCTACCTTTGCCTTTCCCTTTCGCCTTTAATTGGCTTGCAGGGGGTAATTTCTTGACTTTCCATACACTTTGGCTTTCTAATTCTTTTACCTTGAAACTTACTTATATGGCTCTCCATTCCCCTTAATAATATCCACTCTCTCTCTCACACACACATACTGTATGACTATGCACTAATATTCTTATATATCACCAAAGAACCAAACCATATATCACCAAATTAACTTTCTCCTACGCCAAAACATCATTCACTATGGCAGATCCTCAGTCCAATTTGTTCCATGAATGGTTCAACTTCATGCTCCTCCACCCTCACTACTCTTCTTCTCAACCCTACCCTCTTGCTAATTACTCAAACAACAGGTTTGGAATTCAATTACAAGGAGCCTCATCTTCTTATTTGGCTCCTCCTCCTTCTTCCCCTCCTCTCAGAGAGGCCCTTCCTCTGATAAACAAGATAAGCTTCACACATCAGCAGCAAAACGAACCCTCAAATGTTACGGAAGAGAAAGAAGAGGACAATAACAAACATGAAAGTGCTGAAGATGGTGATGAGGAAACTGTGACTGTTGCCCTACACATAGGGCTTCCAAGAATGGATATTTCTTCTGATCTGGGGTCATCAAGGGTGGTCTCAACTTGTATGGAAATGGGTGAAAAAGAGGAAGTGAATATGATTTCTGAACAGCCTTTGGATAGATTGAACAAGGGTCAGTATTGGATTCCCACCCCTTCACAGATTCTCATTGGTCCTACACAGTTCCCATGTCCTGTGTGCTCTAAAACTTTCAACAGATACAATAATCTTCAGGTACGGTGGTCTCATTCACATAAGTAAAAGTAATCAGCCACCCCTCTTGTCTTGTTTCTGTACTTTTATCCTTGATTATAAAATATCCTTAATTTCCAATTTTGTTTTAATAATTATAACATTGAATCAGAAGGTATATAGGCCCCTCCTTGTGTGTTTCATCATTTTTGTTTCCTATATCGGCCTTTTGCATGGTCTTCTTTCGTTCTTTTGTTCTTTTGTTCTTTGTTTCTGATCTAGGTGACTATTTGGTCTCGATCTCAGTACCTAAATTAAGTTTTGTTTTGTTTGAAAACTTGAAGTCTCTTCCTTCTGCTTTTATGTCACCTAGAACATTGTGCTGCACCAGACTGCAAAGTGCAAATGAATGGAAAGTAAAACAAATTATTAATAACAATGCTTCTCTCATATTCAGATTCAGATGTTCCTCGAGAAAGCCTGAAAGCCTGAACTTAATACAGCCTTTTCAAAGCACAGCAAACGGTAAAAGGGAAAAAAAGAAAATTGTTATTGATAGACTTGTGTGTGATGAGATCATTAATTTCCTTATCAGATGTCTTAATAATAAAGAGCCAGTCCCACGTACCCCAGACACAATTTAAGTAGAATTAAGAAAACATAGTTATATGTCTGAACAGTTAACCTTTTTAATTTGTAAAAATTTTGTACGAATTTAGGTCACTGCTAAAGTGTCATCTTATTGTGGAAATAAGAAATTAATTACTTGAAAAGTTGCTGGGAGACTATGGTACTTACCTTTCAATTTGTCTACTTGCCTTTTTATTTTTATCATATGGCCTTCCAAATTTGCATAGGAATATGAAGGAGAAGCCACAAGAAACTAGGTTGCTTTGTACCTGTATTCAATTTTATATGGCCTTCACTAGATGGTTTCCCTAGTCAATTACTTTTTAGGGAGCTATGAAACAAATTAAAGCCCACAGAATTTGTATATGTATCTAATATATATTGTTCAGTAAAACTCTCATATTGTACATGCACCTTTATTTCTCTTTCTGAGAAAACTTGGTTTCCAATTTTATTGTTGTATATGAAGTAATATTGGAAGCAAATTTGAACCTTTGATTATAAATTTCATAACTAGGCATGATAAATCATTTATTGTTGTATATGAAGTAATTGGAAACAAATTAGAACCTTTGATCATAAATTTCATAACTAGACATGATAACTTTAAAGGTACATCAGAATACGATTTGATTCTTGTGCTTTTGGAAAGTCACGAACTTTCAATAAGAACAAAGGAAAAGAGGAAGGTTCTTCGAGAAAAAGGAAATTTTTTGCCTTGTTTTCATTGCCAAAGAACCAACCATTCTAAAGAAGATTGTTGGTTTAAAGATAAACCACTTGCTCTTGTGCGTGAAGTTTGCTGGTCAATTCAGTAATTGTGAGAGTTTGCAAATCACAAGACTCTTCAATTGCAGAAATCTTGGCTTCAAATCTTTCAGGCACCGAAACCATGATTTTCTCGACAACCTTTTGATCTATAAATGATGTTTCACCAAGAAGTCGCATTTGGTTCACAACATCCATTAATCTGCCAGAATAATCTTTGACAGATTCATTATCCTTCATCTTCATCAATTCAAATTCTCTCTTCAATGTGAGAAGTCTAACAGATTTGACTCTACTACTACCTTCAAATTCATCTTGAATCTTGTCCCACACCTGTTTAGGTGTTTCCAAATCCATGATTTTAGTAAAAATATGATCTACAAGTCCTGCATGTAGACAAGTGATGGTTTTATCTTTCTTCAGCTTCTCCTCCTCATAAGCTTTGATTTGTGCAATGGTTGGATTTTCTCTCAATGGTGGTGGATCAGCTTCAGAAATTACAACATTCCATAAGCCTTGAGATCTTAAAACAAATTTCATCTTAACGGCCCAAATATGATAATTTTCACCATTAAACATTGGAATTGCAGGTGAATTGGTGGAAGTAGACATCCTTGCACCAAAAATTGTTTAAA